GGGCCACCATCGAGGTGCGGAAGGGCGGCTGCCTCCGCGCCACCGGCGAGGAGTACTGCAACGGCGCCGGGCTCTGGGTCAAGCTCACCAAGGTAACGGCGGCGGGGAGGCGCCCCCGCCGCGCCGCCGGGGGCCGCCGGGTCCCGACGGCGGTGACGAGGCGGGGTGTGCTTTCAGGAGCAGCTGGAGGAGTACGGGAGCAGCCGTGACCTGGGTGAGGGCTGGCTCCTGGCTCAGAGGTTTGGAGAGGGAGGAGACAAGTTGGTCCCGGTCGACTCCGTGGAGAAGATCCAGTGGCAGCACCAAACGCTGGGGGTCGATTATAAGCCCGCGGTCAGGTATGGCCCCTGCCTGCCGCGCCGCGGGTAGGGACCGGGCTGCGGGCGCCGGCGGCGCGTGTGGCCGGTGCCCACAGAGGACGTGCGTGGACCCAACCGTCCCAAATCCCTTGGGCGCGTCCAGCACAGCCCCCCTCACTCCCTCCAGCGCAGGTGGGACACGTGCCTGCCGAGCCTCCTGCGGGCAGGAGGGTGCTCCCTCGTAGGCTGATGCTGTTGGCTTGCGGCAGCACCTGCGCAGGATAAAGGTGATGCCAGGGGGTTCCTGAGGCACCCGGGTTTGGGCTGAGCGATGTCGCGGAGGTAGCGCGGTGATGAGAGAGCTCATACTTGATTTTCACGACGGAAGGCTGTGTGCGGGGCTGGATTCCCCGGCTCTGCCCCAGCCTCCACCCGGGTGCAGGGACACTCTCATCTCCCCCGCAGCTGTTCCTGCAGTCCCTGGGGGTCACCCCCCGTCCCCCACCGCTGCTGCCTCCTCTCCAGGCTAAGGCAGTAAACACTTGCGCTCACTGAGCACTGACCCGTCTTTTTCCTTGTGCAATTCCTCCACCGGTGCTGCTCCAGCTGGGAACAAGTGGTGGACCTGACCTACTCCATGCGCCTGGGAGAGAAGCCCAGACTCGCAGAGCAGGATGAGGCCGCGGTGCAGAAGTTTCGGTATGAGTGGTACTGCAGCACCTTGAGGGGCAGCCGGCTGGGGCCTGGACATGCCTGTGGGGCCAGGACTGGCTTCAGGGTTGGGAGTGGGGAGGGTGGGTGCCATTAGATGCCTTTTACATTGATACTGTTCAACACTGCTCAAGCAAAGATGGCCTTTGCTCCACGGAACATCAGAGAAACCACATGGTGCTATTCCCAATGGGCTGGGGTGGCCATAAACACCTGGTATGGTGGTGGTGAGATACAGCCGTGCCATCTGCCTGTGGCGGGGACAGGTGCCCGACACCATCCTGATGTGGTGACCATGAGATGCTGCGGCCAATCTGAGATGGGGCACCTGCACAGTGCTGGTGGACAGTTTTGGGGTGCAGCCTGGTCTCCCTGTCCCATTAACACAGAGCCCCCCTGCAGGTCTGTGCCCCCGGGCTGGAGCTACGAGCATGACATGGAGCTGGGGCGCTTCCTGTATGATCACAGCGAGAGGGAACTGCAGTATGGGGACTGCACCAAGGAGCATCTCAGCAGTGTCGAGGTCTCCTCGCAGGCGGTGTGTAGTGGGGCTCCTCCGCAGCCTAAAATCAGTGTGAGACACACAACCATCACTGCAGCTGCGGGGAGGAGCAGCCAGTGGTGGCTGTCCCCTCCGTGAGGAGCAGGGGATGGTGGTGGGGTTTTGCTGCTCTAGCAAAGCTGCCAGGAGTTGGGCATCTAGAGCAAAACGCTATTGTGTCTCTGGGCCACTGCAAGGGGTCTGTGGCTGTGCCCAGCTTGCTCTGTGCGGGAGCCACCGTCTGCCCACAGCCTAGTGAACTGAGGGGCTGGCCCGGTCCTGACCTCCTCTGGCCCCACGGGACCCATCCCAGGGGTGGCCGCGGCGTGCCCAAGGGTGCTCAGCTCCCTCCCTCCATTCACTGCACTCTTGCAGGAGGATGGCAGCGCAGCCCATCTGACGGACAACCAGACATACACCTTCTGGGAGAGCAACGGGCCACCGGGGCAGCACTGGGTGCGGCTCAACATGAAGAAAGGCACCATTGTCAAGTGAGACCTCAGGGTGTCCCCTCCCTGCCGGCGGCTGTGCCAGGGATGGGCAGGGTGCAGGCCAAAGCACCATCTTCCTCCTGAATGCAGCTTTCCCCAGGCTGCAGCTGGGGGCTCTGGGTTAAGGTGGGGGGCAGCTGCTGCCGGATGCACCCCAGGAGGACATGGCCTTGCCCCCAGCCCTGGAACATCTCTGGGGGCATCTCTGTGCCCAGGCAGCTCAGGAGGGGAGGACTACACTGCCCCTTGCTCTTCTCATCCCCAGGAAGCTGTGGCTGATGCTGGACGGGCAGGCCAGCTCCTATGTACCCAGGCGGGTGGCTGTGTATGGGGGGGCACCGAACAGGCTGCAGCACCTGAGAACAGTCCTAATTAATGAGTGAGTAATGAGCGAGAAGCAGCCTGGGTCCAGCTTGGGCCAAACTCCCAAGCTGTGTCTGCATCCAGAGCAGATGCTAAGGAAATGGCTGGGGTTGGTCCAGAGTGACCTGGCGGTGACAGTGACTCTCTGCAGGTCAGGGCTCCCTGGGTGCAGGCTACATCTGTCCCCACAAGCGTGGTGGTCCCCCGCCTCCATGTGCCAGCCACACGCCTTCATCTCCACTCCTGCTCCTCATCTGTGCTGCAGCAGCTGGGCTGCAGCGTGCTTCCCCCTGCCTGGTGACTTTGGGGGTCTTTCTGCCTCCTCCTTGCCTCTGGGGACACATGCTGCTGCCGTCACCTTTCTGAGCATCTCTGTCGTGCTGTAGCCGAGAAGTCCTGGGGTTCTCCACCTCTCCCTCTTTGCCCTGGCTCTGCAGCACCCTTCTTGAGGCAGGCAGGGGTTTATGCAGGGGTGTGAAGATCTCCTTCTACTTCCCCAAAACTTGCCTGTTTGCCTTTTTTTGGCTGAGCAGTGAGATCTGTCTTTGAAGAAGCACCTGCGAGACCACCAAGGTCTCCTTCCTGGTGGCAGGAGCCAACTCCTCACTGCGTCTGAGCAGTCACAGTGTGTTTTCCCACACACACCCATAGTTCTTTGACGGGACCTTGTCAAAGGCTTTGGAAACACAAGTGGATCACTTGCCAAATAGCTCATCTCCACAAATCCCTGTTTCCTTCAAAACACATCACCCTTGTGTGACCAGCTTGGCTTGAAGGATAGTTGTTCCATTGTGAGATGTGCCGGGACACCTGGGAACAGCGATGCGCTCTTGGCCATCTCGCCTTTCTGTTCTGCTTTGAATTTTTGCTCTTTTCTGGCTCTTTGGATGGAGCTTCCATCTTCTTCAGGATGTCTCTGTGCCTCTGACAGCCTCTTCTCTCTGCTCAGTCCCCTCCTGCTGCAGCCCCGGTGAGGTGGGGGGGCTTTCACCATGGGTAACATCACATCCTTGGCTGGGGAACCGGAGTGGCCCACACCTCGCTGGCTGCCTCATTGGTGTCTGTGCCTGGTGGCTCTGCCATCTCCCTCCACGCTGTGTGCAGGAACAGCTTCCAGGATGTCTGCATCCTCCGCGACATGAAGATCCATTTGCCGGTGCTGGAGATCCGCATCCTGGAGTGCCGGGGTGAGCCTGTGCTGCCAGACTGGGGCTGCTAGCTCAGCCCAGCCCTAAACCTGCAGCTGGTCCCGGCACCTGCAGCTCTTCCTGCTGCACTGGCTGCTTTTTGGGGTCTGTTGGAGGAAAAGCTGGGGAATGAGCTTCATTTGGGATGCCACAGGTGCTGGGGGCTCCTTGCCCCCAGTTGCAGCACCTGAGCTCTGCTGGCTGCACAGCTGCAGCTGCACATGCAGCATCACTGTCCTTTCTTGGCAGACCAAGGGTACAATGTCCGCCTGCGAGGGATTAAGTTCAAGTCCTTCTGGGAGCGGGACCTGATCCTCAATGCTGACATGTTCCAGCCAGCCCGGCTGGTGCGCTACCCTCTCCTGGAAGGGGTGAACAGAGATGTGCTGTACCGGCGGGCTGTGGTCATTCAGAGGTATGGCACAGGGATGGCACCATCCCTGCAGCGAGCCTGGACCCTGAGAAGAACCATGCCCTGGCCTTTGGCAGGCGATTGCACATGTCTTACTTAAAGTCTGCCAGCTCCTTTCCCGTGTGCGGCAGGGACTTTGGCTTGCTGCTCCCCATCCAAACATGGCTGCTTCCAATATCTGGGGAGCATGGAGGCAGCACAAAGCAAGGGGGACCTGCATTACATGGAGTCCCCCACCCTGCTGCCTGCAGGGCAGCCCTAGGCTGGGGTCAGCACTGGCCCCACAGAGAGACCCTCTGCAGCAATTCAGCCGCAGTGCTGCAGCATGGGCTGGGCTGCCCTCATTTGCAGCTTTTTCTTGGGGGGAATAAAATAAAGCACTTGGCCAGAGGGTGCTGGTTGGGTGCTCCCATTGGTGTGCTGCCGTGGGCTGGAGGACACCCACATGCAGGCAGTGCAGCGCCCAGGCTCGGTGTGTCTGCAGTGAAGCACCATGGGCATATCAGGCTCTGCATGTCTGCCAACCCCCTCGCATCCTCACGCTGCTCCTCTCTGGTCTCCAGGTTTGTCCAGCTCCTGGACAGTGTCCTGTGTTACCTGATCCCCCTCTCTGAGGACAGCGTTGGCACCTTCAATGCACTCAGGGTGAGCGTCTGCCGGGGTCCCCTGGGATGGTGCCTGCAGGAGCATCTTGTCACGGGCTTGGCTGGTTTTGCCGGGGTCTGTGGCATGTCCCCCTTGATCCGATGAGGACAGACCATCCCAGGGCTCATGCTGAGAGCTGCCATGCTGGGCATTGCTGCAGGGATGGAGGAGTTGAGCATTCCCTGTGACACCATGGGCTGTGCTTGGGGAGGGGGAAGGAGGGCACACGGTGGCAGGATCAGGCCTCTAACCATCCCTGCTTGTCCCTTGCTAGAGCATGAAGCCGTTCTTGCTGCTGTCCAAGCAGAGCACAGCCCTCATCACCCACTGTCTCCAGTCCTCGGAGAGCACCCCGCCTCACACCCTGCCAAAGCTGTACATCAACCGGCACCTGGCCCGGGAGCACCGCAGCAATCCTGCACTGGACCCCAGCTGCAGGAACACCGTCTTCACCCAGGTACGGCAACGCCATGCCCCATGCCAGCTACCTGCCAGTTCAGCATCACTTCCCCCCGCTGCATCTCATCCCCTTTCCACTTTGCTCCTCTCCAGCTGTACGAAGGGCTCAGATCTTCCAAGAACAATCAGCCCCTGGACTACAGGTAGGTCTTTAGCATCACATTTGCGGGGTGTCACCTCCTTGGAGCGGGGGGTAGGGGGGGGGATGCCAGGTGCTGCTGGCTCTCTTGGAGAAGGGATGTGCATGGGGCTGTTGCTTCCCCACAGGTGGCCCCTGAGCTACAGCCAGTGGTGGGAGTGCGAGTTCATCACCGAGGGCGTCATTGACAATGGTGAGAGCTCTTCCCTCCTGCCCCAGGGCGCTCCCCTGGGCTTTCTTGTGTTGGGGTGCAGCTCTGTGGTTCCCCTTCTGCAGCGGAGTGCCCACACTGTCCCGGCTGCTCTGCGGGAAGCAGCCCCGCTCTGCACACTTGGGGTGGTCCCTGCATCTCCCCTAGCCCACCAGTGCTGCCCTGGCCCCAGGGAGGGGGGCAGCTTGGCCAGATCCTGTGGCTCAGTGTCTGGCCCTGGCGTGTCAGGCACTAACCAGCCTCTGCCCCCACTGCAGGCGGCGGTTTTCGGGACAGCCTGTCGGATATTTCAGAGGAGCTGTGTCCCAGCTCAGGCGATGTTGCTGTGCCCCTACCCTTCTTCGTGCGCACCTCCAATAAGGTCTGACACCCCGCTGTCTGCCTGTCCCGGCCCTGGGTGGGGCAGCCAGAAGAGCCTTGGGGCTTTTGGGGTGTTAGTCCTATCTTAACGCTTGCACGGCTATTGGCGGGGGGGCTGTGCTTGTATCCGGGTGGTGGAGATCTCCTGGAGGGGTATAAAGGGCAGGAGAGGTGGGCGGAGGGGTGATGGAGAGGGAGGCTGCAGGAGGGACCATGCTGGGCTGGTCGCATCTGTGTCCATGGGTCCTAAGCCTCTCTCCTGCAGGGTAACAGCGGCAGCGACACCAGGGACTTGTACGTTCCCAACCCCTCCTGCAGGGACTTCCCCAAGTATGAGTGGATCGGGCAGCTGATGGGAGCAGCCCTGAGGAGCAAGGAGTTTCTGGTGAGCACGGCAGAGCCTCCCTGGCCAGCGAGGGGGCTTGGCAGGGATCGCCGTGTCTTGGGCAGAGGGGGTGCCCTCAGGTGAAGGAGGGGTACGGGGAGGACGTGTGTCTCTGTTCCCTCTGGCAGATCCTGGCTTTGCCGGCGCTGGTGTGGAAGCAGCTGGCAGGGGAGGAGGTCAGCTGGAGCAAGGACTTTGCCACCGTGGACTCAGAGCTGGTGAGTGGGGCTTGGGGCAGCAGGGCAGTGCCGTGCACTACCCTGGCTGCTCCGACTCCACCGTGATGGCTTTCGCCTGTTGGGGTTGCAGGTGAAGCTGCTAGAGGTGCTGGAGGGGGTGGACAGGGAAGCCTTTGAGTTCATGTTTGGCAGAGAGCTGACCTACACGATAGTGCGGAGTGACCAGCGCGTTGTGGAGCTGATCCCCAATGGCAGCAGCACCGTGGTGTGCTACGAGGACCGCAAGGAGTTCATCCGCCTGGTGCAGAGGGCTCGGCTGGAGGAGAGCAAGGAGCAGGTAACGCTGACCTCCAGGGCCAGCATGGCTCCAAGGGGACCCTGCTGCTGTGGCAAGCACTCCTGGTACCTGTGGGGTTGGTGGCTGTGAAAATGTGTCTCCAAAACCAGCTCCAGCTGGGCAGTTCCTCCGTGCATCCCATGCCCAGGATGTCCATGAGCCCCGGGGACACCCTTTGGGGTCCTGCGGTCCCTGCCCCTGGTGCCCTGGGTGGCTGCCCTGGGCTCAGACCCACCATGGTGATGCGGGACCCTTCCTGTGCCCCCCCAAGATCGCAGCCATGCGTGCTGGGTTGCTCAGTGTGGTACCTCAGCCTGTGCTGGACCTGCTCACCTGGCAGCAGCTGGAGAAGAAAGTCTGTGGGAACCCTGAGATCACAGTGGCTGAACTGCGGAGGTTTAGTAAGTGCCGGGGCCAGCCCAAAGCTGTTCCCAGACCCCTGCATGGGCAGGGGACCCCCTTGATGATGCTCTTCCTGCACATGCATCCTGTCCCATGCTGAGTCCCTGGCTGTGGGGTGCCTCGGAGCTTGGGGGAGGATAAGCCAGAGAGACCCTGGATAGGGATGCTTCAGGTTTAGCTGCAAACCCCACTGGTCCCCATTCTGGTCCCTCTGGTCTTCAGCCGCTGTGGGCGGAGGTGAATGGCCAACCTGCAAACGTGGACCCCCATTTCTCCACTTGCCTTTGTGCAGGATGCTGGCCCTGCTCAGAGGTGCCGGGGGCTCTCAGGGGCTCACTGATAGCAGAGGGTCTCCTCCTCTCCTGCCTCTGCTCTGGTCTCTCAACAGAAGGGCAAGATGGACATGTCCCATGTTAATTTGCTTTGCTGGGAGTTTCTAACGAAGCTGTTGCACATTTTTCATCGCAGTCACGTTTGAGGACTTTCCCTCTGATGACACCCGTATCCAGAACTTCTTGGAGGCGCTCGATAACTTCACCAGTGGTGAGCGACCCTAAGCCTTCCTTTCCCTGCTCTTCATGTGCAGTGGGGTGGGCCAGGGTACCCACTGCCCTGCGCCCCTGGGATGCTCACCAGGTGCTTCCCTGGGAGTCAGCTGGGGTCATCCCGCCTGGCCCTTCCCAGGGTGCTGAGAACATCGCTTAGGTTTGCCCTGTGCTCCCGGGATGCTTTTGCAAGGGCAGACCCTGCCCTGACAGCAGTGACTGGGATGGTCCTGTCCCTGTTGCTGAGATCTGAGCCCTGTCCTTCCCCTCAGAGGATCTCAGCCGCTTCCTCAAGTTCGTCACTGGCCGGAGCCGCCTCCCAGTTCAGATCACTGTCTACCCAGAAAGGGAGAAGTGAGTCCGTCCTGCCTGGGCTGGGGTCCCTGCGCCATGCTGGTTTCCTGCGTGGTGTGAGGTCCCTGCACCTTGCCAGGGTCTGACTCTTTCTCCTCTCTCCTAAGCTTGAACGCGTTGGACCTGATGCCACAGGCCTCCACGTGCTCCTGCAGCTTCTACTTGCCCAACTATTCCTCGTAAGTCGAGCTGGGGACAGGGATGCTCACCCCTCCCTGGGGATGGCACTGGGGTCCCCCTCCAGCCTACCTAGGTCCTCCCCTGGGGGATGTCTGGGTGGGTGATGGGGTGGGGGGAGCATGAGGGTCTCGGTGCCCATCCCAGCCGTGACCCAGCGTTCCCCCCCACACCAGGGCCAAGGCCTGTGAGGAGCTGCTGCGATACGCCGTGTACAACTGCATGTCCATCGACACCGACAGGAACCCCTGGGATGAATGAGGCCCCCCCCCAGGCACCCCATGCCATGGGAGCCGCCTGCCCCAGGAACACCGGCTTTAATAAAACGGCAGGGCCGGATCCTGCCATCCTGCCCCAGGTCCTGTTAGTGTCCGTGCTACTCCAGGGCTCTGACTGGGCCATATGTGGTCAGTGTTGCAACTGGGGGGGTGTGGGGAGGGGGCAGCATGGCACTGTCTGCTGGGTGCTGCGCCGGCACGGGGTGGAGAGCGTGGCGTGTACGTGGGTCCTGTCCCCTCCCTGGACACGGTGTGCGTGGGGAGCGCAGCCGCAGAGTGCCCCCCCCACCCCGCAACGCACCCCGCAGCCTGCAGCGCCACCTCCGGCCGCCTGGGGGCGCTGTGCCGCCGAGCCCCTCCCGCTGCTGGGTAAGGAGCTATGACTCGGCGCTCCGCAGCCCGGGATCCTTCCCTCGGTGTTCCTCTCGCTGCCCTGGCCGGGAGGAGCCGATGGCAGCAAAGCGAGGAAGGCGGATCGAGCCTATCGGTCTTCTACCGCCGCTGTCCGCGATCGACCCGCTCGGCTCTTCCCCGCGCGCACGCGCAGTGGGCGCCGGCGCCGCCATTCCTGTCCTGTCAGTGAGGTGCTGGGAGCCGGCGGCCGCCAGAGCGGAGGTAACGGCGAGGCGGGGGGAGGCCCGGCGCCTCCGCACGGGCTGTGAGGGGCGCGGGGGAGGCGGGGAGGCGGCGCACGCCTCCGAGAAGCGCTGGCGCCTAAAGTTGGGCCAGGTTGAACCGAACTGGTCTTAGCCAGGCCCGGCTCGGCTCGGCCTGTCCCGGCCCCGGCCTGCCCGGTTCTGCTGTGGTTGAGTGAGGCCCTGCCCCTGTGCTCCCTCTGCAGCATGGAGTTCCAGGCCGTGGTGATGGCGGCGGGAGGCGGTTCTCGTATGACGGACCTGACCTCCAGCATCCCGAAGCCGCTGCTCCCGGTGGGCAACCGGCCCCTGCTCTGGTACCCGCTGAACCTCCTGGAGCGCGCCGGCTTCGAAGGTGAGGCACGACGGTGTCTTGGTGTGGGAGTGGAGACGACGTGCTTACTTTGACCTCCTCAGGCTTCCCGTGGTCACCTCCGCCACTCCCGTTTGTCGCCCTCTCTTGTTCTAATGTCTTGTCGCAGGTGCCCTGTTGATTGGGGCAGGTGCCGTAGCAGGAGATCTCATCTTCAGTGCACTGCAGCTGTGCCGTTGGCCCATGTCACATCCCTTCCTTTGCTCTAGGCTGTGCCTCCTGTGCCAGCGCCCCCTTCCCCCCTCTTCTCCCCTCACCAAGGCTTTTCCGGTCTCTATGCTTTTCCCAACTTTGATGTCTTTCCTAGTGTTGTTAACCCGGAGTCTCTTGCTCATTTCTTTTTCTGAATTATTAATGAGAGTAGCTTGAAAACTGTGTTAGCTCTCCTGGGATATCTCTTGGTTTGTTGTTTCAGCCTGGCCTGAATTTCAGGGTTACTTGCTCTGTCTGAGGCATTTAGTCCTTGTTGCAGCGTGGAGCCAAGTGCTGGGGTTTGGACAGAGCAGGGCAGGGGGGAGAGGCAGACTTGTAATGCTCACCTCTGGGCCTTGTTTCATGGGAGGGCTAAAAATCGTATTTAGTACATGGTGAGATTCTTTAGTATTTTCTGGGTTTAGGGTTTTGTTTACCTTTTGAGCGGTGGACAAAATCTTTCTGTGATGTTCCCCCTGCTTCTTGTAAAACTTCTTCCTGACACCTTTCGTGTTTCTCTTTTTTCACATTTGTATTTGTCCTTTGCCTTTCTGCTTCTCTGGTTTTGCTTCTCCTGCGTGACTGTGCGATTAATCTGTAGTCCATCCTGACACTGTGGCTTTTTTCCCGACTGCAGCATTTTTCTGTGAAGTTGTAAAGATCAGCTCATGATTATTCATGTTAGCCTCTTACTATTTCAGTGTGAAGGAACAAAAGAAAGACTGCCTTAATTTTGTTTCATTAAGAAATCCTTAAGAACTTTTTTCCCTTGGAATTGTTTTTTGCCTGTTGTTTGTTGAAATCTGCTTTCTGAATGTCCATTTTCTTTGACTGTTTTCCTGTCTCTTTTTTGCTAGGATCATACTCTTATCCTGTGATATGGATATATGGGTAGCTAAAAGCTTCTCTGTAACCAATATTGTGCTTTGTGTGGCTCTTTAACTATTCAGAAATAACCATTTCCACTTGATGCTCTTGACCACTAGTAGGTGGTGTCAGATCTTTCTCCTTTCTCATGCATAGCTCTTCAACTTGTCTATCCTCTACAAAAATTTGGACGTGCAGGGTTGTATATGCAGCTTCAGTAAGCAAGCTGCCACCTTCCCGCTCCTCTCTTGCTTCTGCCCCCAACCAAGCTGTACGTTTCTGTGTTAATACTCCAGTGGCATGAATTCTCTCCCTGGATCATAATTTTTATTAAGTATGACATGAGGCTTCAGTGCCTCATACTTGCTTATGTTAGTAAGTAGGTGTGTTCCACAGGCTGATTCACTGCATCCCTTTTGTCCTAACTGCAAGTGCTTCATCTCTCCTGATATTTAGGAGACCTTTGTCCAGCCCACCAGATTTACACTGAACTGTGTGGGCTTACAACTTCCACCTGACACTAGTTCCTTCTCCATTGGTTACTTCTTTCCCTAATTCAAGGTGTGCTTTCAATCCCTTTCTCCAGGTTCTTCAGCCTGTTTTGAATCCAGGTTGGCATCCACTATGGGAGTGGGAGAGGAGCCCTCCCATACCTCTGGTACCAAACTGCCGCACAATTCTCATGTTTACAGTTCCTTCCTCTTTTCTGTTAACAGATTCAGGATGAGTTCAGTTTTGATCGATACAGATTTATTCTTGGTGTGTTTTCATCTTACCACAGGAGCTTCCTAGGCTGAGGGCTGTATTATTTCCCATACTTCTCTGTTAAAATTCTATGTGGAATACAATGTTACGGTGTTGGGGTTTTTTTGGGAGGGTGGGATATTTTAATTTGAGGGTTTGACTGTTGCTTTTTCCTTCCAGTTCTTGAAGCCAGGGGAAAAGGTTTCTTGCTGCTTTGTTTTCTCAGTCTTTTCTTTGGAGAGCTGCTGTTCTTGCATTGTTCATTTTGGAAAATATGCTTTCATGCCTCTGTTGATATCCTTCAAATATTCATTTACCTTTTTTCTTTTGTAGATGGAATGAGTTTGTTGCTCACATACTACTCCTCTCTCTTGCCAAGCTGGTGCTGAGAAATAGTTTAACCATTGTATTGTAATACTGTGGTTGGTGGTGTTGTCCATAGAGGATTACAGAGGATCAGAGTGGGCAAAAGACAAAGCTCTAAAGTGTTGGTGACATTAGTGCAGGGTCTCATGGTCTGAGGACATATGGTTGAAGTTGCTTACTAATGATAGAAGATGTTTCTGTTCTGTCTTGCTAACTTGTGCCACTCACATGCATGTGTGCCTTTCAGTAACAACCTCCACCCACACAAAGCAGGAGAGATTGTTTTCATATTCATTAGGAGTTTAATTCTCTTCTTCAAAAGTTACTACTGCTGAAAGAGCTTGGTTCGTTGTAGAACCCAGTTATGTTACTCAAGCCTTTTGACAGTTCCATCAGCCTTTGTAAATAAAAAGTGAGTGTATCCTATTTGTGATGTTTTTTTGTTTCTTCTGCTTGATCTCATCCCACTTTACTCTGTCCTAGAGGTCATTGTGATTACAAGGAAGGAAATCCAAAAGATGTTAAACTTGGACACAAAAATGAAGCTGGATTTTGTGTGCATCAGTGACAACATGGACATGGGTACAGCAGATTCACTGAGGCATATTCATCAGAAAATTAAGGTATTACTGCCTTCTATTGAACTTGACTGGAAGACATTTGTTTATAATAATACTTTTTTTATTGTGCTTTAAGAGCTGTCCCATGTAATGATATTGCAGGTAACTGAATTTCCTGATCTTCAGAAGAGCTGAATTTTGTAAAGGTCACCTCATGGGGGAACTCAAACAAAGACTCTAAATGACTAGAACTGACAGCTAGGAAGGCTGGAGCAGATTCAGGCTGGCCACTGGCTGTTTCTTAGTGTTAGCTTTCTGACACGTTAATTAAAGGGCTGTATTTGTTTATACAATTTTTGATATGATGTGTGATAGCTGTTGTCCATATAGTTTTTGGGGAAGTAGTTCTGCACAAATGTTCATTGTCATCTTAGCTGATATATAAGGAAGTTTCTGTTCAGTTCTTGGCCCTGCCATAGGCTTGCCTGCACCATTAGGCAAGTGACTTGCTCTGTGCTTCAGTTTTCTGCTTTTCCTATGCTTTTGCTGGCTTGGTCATATGGTTAGTTCTTTGATAAACAGTGCCCAGATGTGATAAAGGGCTGCTGTTCTAATAAAAACACCAGTTTGTAGAATTCTGATTTCCAGCTGCACAATTAAAACACTCCCATGTAAGGCAGAAATGCTGCTTGGAGCTCTTGCTGTGATCTGGGATGGAATTTTGTTTTTGTTGTTGTCATACACTTAATCTTTCCGATTTGTTCCCTGTCTGGTTAGGCCACCTTAGCCAAATTGGCTGTTTAAATAAAGGTTGCAACAGAACATCAATGAACCATTTAAGTCCTGAGGTGTCTTTTTGTCTTCAGACTCTTTTTGAGTGTAATAAACTGCAGTGTAACAGGCTATGTACTCCCAACAGAAAGACTCCAGGTGAGACAAGATGAAAGTTTCCAGGCAAATATGGGTGTCTAGGCACAAGGAGAGAGATACTGCAAGGGATTAATGCACGGACTAGAATAATTTAGAGGGCAAAGAGAAGATATAAAAAGGAAACCAAAATCAACAAAATCAGTTTAACTTAACTGAATGTTTCTGTCATGTGGAGAATTGTGCTCTGTCATAACTCTGGCAGTATTTTTTAAATATGTGCATGCAGTGAGGAAATACCTCTGCACTGCAAATTGTGACCCTGACCTTACAGTTTTATTGCCTAACCAGAGCGATCAGTTGGGCTGTCTGGATGTCC